TTCACGCCGGATTCAGGTGCCTCTCGCTGTTTCTTTCGTGACCGCACTGCCCTTGAGCCCCTTGCTCGGCCAGTTGCTGTCTCCCTTGCAGACCCCTATGGGGGTCCGGTCCTTGCGACCTCCTCCACTGTCCTTCCCTGTCCTGCGGTCCCGTAGGGCACACTGTCAGGTCTCCACCTCCCCTCGCTCTCTACGAACTTGGTGGCAGGTTGTGCCCTACAGGACGCGGGTGTTCACCAGTTCACCCCTGCCTACGAGCGTGTCACACACTGCACGTGTGCTCGTACAGGCCGCCACTTGGCTACCTTCACCCGGCAGCCGGGGTCGGACCTGTACACACTGACTACTGCCCCCCCTCAGGTCGCTGCGTCTGCGTCTGCGTCCGCGTCAGGTCAGCTGTCTGCCCCCTGCTCGTGTCGCATTCTAGCGCACGAGACTGTTCTCTGGCACCACCGACTGGGCCACCCGTCTGTGCAGCGCCTTCGTGCCATGCACTCCCGGTACCTTGTCTCTGGCCTGCCCAGGGTCCTCCCTCCCCTCCCACCCTCGCCTGCTCCTCCCTGTCTTCCCTGTGTCGAGGGGCGGCAGCGCGCCGCTCCTCACTCCTCCTCGTTTCCCCCGACGACTGCTCCTTTGCAGACGCTCCACATGGACGTGTGGGGCCCAGCCCGCGTCCGTGGTTAGGGTCAGGAGAGGTACTTCCTGATCGTTGTTGACGACTACTCGCGCTACACCACGGTCTTCCCCTTGCGCACCAAGGGTGAGGTCCCTGATGTATTGATCCCTTGGATCCGCAGAGCTCGTCTCCAGCTCAGCGAGCGTTTCCGCTCGGACTTTCCTGTCCTGCGCTTGCACTCTGACAGAGGTGGTGAGTTCTCCTCCGACCTCTTGGCAGCCTACTGTGCTGAGCACGGCATTGAGCAGTCGTTCACGCTTCCGGCCTCTCCACAGCAGAATGGGGTTGCGGAGCGCCGCATTGGCCTGGTCATGGAGGTCGCTCGTACCTCCTTGATCCATGCGGCTGCCCCCCACTTTCTGTGGCCGTTTGCAGTCCGGTACGCTGCGCATCAGCTCAACCTCTAGCCCCGTGTCTCCTTGCCGGAGACCTCGCCCACACTGCTGTGGACGGGGGAGGTTGGCGATGCGTCGCGTTTCCGGGTCTGGGGATCTCGAGCTTTTGTCCGCGATTCGTCTGCGGACAAGCTCTCCTCTCGTGCTGTTCCCTGCGTCTTCCTCGGCTTTGTTCCGGACGCGCCTGGTTGGCAGTTTTACCACGCCACCTCGCGCCGGGTCTTGCCCTCTCAGGACGTCACTTTTGACGAGTCTGTCCCCTACTACCGCCTCTTCCCCTACCGCACTGCCTCGCTCCCACCCCCGCCTCTCTTCCTCGCGCCAGGTGCTGCTGTCGTAGACCCCCTCCCCCCTCAGGGTGCCGCTCCCTCAGGTGTGTCTCAGGTAGACCCGGTCGAGCCTGTTGAGGTTGCTGTCGACTCTCGTCTTGCTGGGGGTGCTGAGCCTGGGGGTGCGGACTCTGGGGGTGCTGAGCCTGGGGGTGCAGACTCTGAGGGTGCTGAGCTTGGGGGTGCGGACACTGGGGGTACTGAGCCTGGGGGTGCTGAGCCTGGGGGTGCGGTGACTAGGGGTGCTGAGCCTGGGGGTGCGGTGACTGGGGGTGCTGAGCCTGGGGGTGCTGGGCCAGAGGGTACTACACCTGGACGAGACCTCTCCTCGGAGCAGTTGCGTGAGTGGTACTTACAGTACTGCAGCCTCCGGAGAGGTACCTCTGGGACCAGGCGCACTACGGAGACTGGTGCTGGTACTTCTCCTCCTAGTCGGGAGCTCCCCTCTCGTGAGCGGATCCGTGAGTGGTACGAGCGCCGTTGCACACTTCGGAGTGGCGCGCCTCGTCTCACGGACCCAGCTACTGTTGGTGCTGCGAACCCTGGCGTTGGAGCTGCTGCTGGTGCTGCGGACCCGGGCGTTGGAGCTACTGCTGGTGCTGAGGACCCGGGTGTTGGAGCTGCTGCTGGTACTGCGGACCCGGGCGTTGGAGCTGCTGCTGGTGCTGAGGACCCGGGTGTTGGAGCTGCTGCTGGTGCTGCGGACCCGGGCGTTGGAGCTGCTGCTAGTGCTGAGGACCCGGACGTTGGAGCTGCTGCTGGTGCTGAGGATCCGGGCGTTGGAGCTGCTCCTGGTGCTGCGGACCCGGGCGTTGGAGCTGCGACTGGTGCTGTGGACCCTGGTGTTGGAGTCCCTGCTGGTGCTGCGGGCTCGGGCGTTGGTACTGCCGTTGGGGGCACTGGTGCTGTCCCTGCTGTGTCTGGAGTCGCCGCGCGCCCTCAGCCGTACTTCGTTCCGCTCCTTCAGCAGGTTCTTGGTCTCTCGCCTCCTCCTGGTCCTCCTCCTCCCTTAGTGTGTCCACAGCCTGTCCCATCACAGCTACAGTGGCAGCCGACCTCCCCACTACCTGCTCCTTCTCCTTACACTGGTCCTACTGGCGGTCTTACTGAGCGTCGTGAGTCTGCGTCTCGCCCTGCGTCGCCTGTCCGTCCTACTAGCACTAGTGCTCGTAGTTCGCGTCCGCGTCCTCCTCCTGGCCCTGGCACGCACCGGAAGTCTCTGCGTCCGTCTACTGCTCCTCTGCGTGCCCCTTTGCCTTCTCCTCCTACGTCCTGTCTTCCTACTCTTGCCGACCCTGCGTCGGACTCTCTTCGTGCTGCCAGTCCTACTGTCACGCGTCTCCTTGCTACTGCCGTCACTGACCCTTTCTTCGAGTCTTCTGCTGCGTCTTCCCTAGTTCCTGAGCTCGTCGACTTTGCTGCTCGCTGTCGTCTAAACTACGCTGCTAGTCTTGTCGCTGAGTCTGAGTCTGTCTGTCCTCCGTCCGTCGGGGGTGCGTGTGCCCTTGGCACGGACGTCCTTGAGGACAGGCAGGAGGAGTTCCAGTGCTTGCCCGCTGCTTCACCTCATCTCGTGTCCGTACTGCTTACCCCTGAGGGAGACCCGGATGCACTTGACATCCCGACTCCGCGCTCTTACGCGGAGGCGATAGAGGGTCCCTACTCCTCTCATTGGCAGGCAGCTATGGATGCAGAGATGGCTTCCTGGAAGTCCACAGGCACCTACGTTGACGCTGTCCCCCCTCCTGGAGCGAACATCGTCAGTGGCATGTGGATCTTCAGGGTGAAGCGGCCGCCGGGTTCTCCGCCTGTCTTCAAGGCGCGTTACGTGGCTCGTGGCTTCAGTCAGCGGCAGGGAGTTGACTACTTTCAGACCTTCTCCCCCACCCCGAAGATGACCACTCTTCGGGTACTGCTGCACGTTGCTGCTCACCGTGACTACGAGCTGCACTCTCTCGACTTCAGCACTGCTTTCTTGCAGGGCAGCCTGCACGAGGAGATCTGGCTACGCCGCCCACCTGGCTTCACTGGGTCTTTCCTTCCCGGTACCCAGTGGAGTCTCCGGCGTCCAGTCTACTGTCTCTGCCAGGCGCCACGTGAGTGGCACGACACACTGAGGACTACGCTTGCGGCTCTTGGGTTCGCTCCTTCTACTGCCGACCCGTCATTGTTCGTGCGCACGGACACCTCTCTGCCGCCGTTCTACATCCTCGTGTACGTCGACGACTTGGTCTTTGCAACAGCTGATACTACTGGACTCGCCTACGTGAAGTCCGAGCTGCAGAAGAGACACACGTGCACAGACCTGGGTGAACTGCGTAGCTACCTTGGCTTACAGATCACCGGGGACAGAGCACGCCGCACCATCACCCTGACTCAGTCACACATGGTGCAGCAGGTCCTTCAGCGCTTCGGCTTCACGTACTCCTCGCCTCAGGCCACTCCTCTGTCTACTCGCCACTTGCTCTCAGCTCTGCCTTCGGATGAGTCCGTAGAGTCGAGTGGCCCGTACCCAGAGTTTGTTGGCTGCCTCATGTACCTGATGACCTGCACACGACCTGACCTTGCATACCCTCTTAGCATTCTTGCACGCTATGTTGCTCCTGGGAGACACCGACCAGAGCACATGGCTGCAGCAAAGAGGGTGTTGCGCTACTTGTGCAGTACGTCGGGCATGGGGCTAGTGCTTGGAGGGCGGAGTCGAGTGGTCCTCATTGGGCACGCGGACGCTTCTTGGGCTGACGACCAGGCTACGCAGCGGTCGTCACAGGGCTACACCTTCAGCCTTGGTTCCGGCTCTGTTTCGTGGCGGGCTACTCGCTCGTCTTCTGTTCTCGGCTCCAGTTGTGAGGCTGAGATCTACGCAGGGGCCATGGCTGCTCAGGAGCTTCGCTGGCTCACCTACCTGCTGACCGACCTTGGAGAGCCGCCTCGTTCTCCTCCAGTCCTGTACGTAGACAACAAGGCCATGCTGGCCTTGTGTCGATAGCAGAGACTAGAGCACAGAACAAAGCGCATTGCTCTCTGCTACTTCCTTGCTTGTGAGCTACAGCAGCGTGGTTAGTTGCGACTTGCGTACGTGGCCTCTGAGGCCAACACTGCAGATGTCTTCACCAAGGCACTTCCGTCTTATGATCATCAGCGCTTCTGTACCCAGCTGGGTCTTGTGCCTGTCTTGCCTCACTTGCTCTCCTCTTGACCTTCTTTGTACTGCTACATATATATATTGCTGCTCTTGCTTGTCTAGCTTTATATATATATGTACTCCTGCATTTGAGCTGGCCTTGTGGCCTTGAACTTGTGCTCGGAATGTGTGGTGACTTTGTGATCCACCCTGAGCTTGCTTTGCTTTGCTTTACTTGACTGGTCTTGTGACCCCTAGTTCTCCCCCACTTCGCCTATGGGGGTGTGTCAAACATTATATATATATGTTGTAGTTGTTTAGGCTACAGTGGGTTAGCCTATAGGGGGTACACAATTCTAGGGTTTCCAACTTGTACTCATTTTCACTGTTAGTTCATTCATTCTTGTTCAACATAGACAGCTCGCCCCAGCGAGGGATCTCTGTGGCCTCAGGGAACTGGTGACGCCACGCGTCCGTCAGGCGGCCAAAGCAGCGCTGGGTGGGGTGCGCACCCCCACACTACTCACCCGCACAGCTGCCGGTGCGCAGGACGTAGGTGCACGGACCAAAACCCCCACCCCGCTGGCGTGCAGTGTACCACTCACGGAGCTGCTGACGGGACAGGGTCTCACGACCACGCTGCTGCTGCTGTCGCGGACCACCACCGGAGCCACTCCTCTGCGTAGACCCGCGACCAGCTCCACCGCCACCTCGGCCTCCTCCGCCACCTCCGCCGCCTCCGCCACCACCGCCGCCTCCACTACCACCGCCGCCTCCGCTACCACCGCCTCCTCCGCTCCCTCCGCCACCGCCGCCGTCTCCGCCTCCACTGCTGCCACCGGTACCCCACCCCCTCCACCACTCCCTCCACCACCCCCACTCCCTCCGCCGCCTCCACCGCCACCTCCACCGCCCCCGCCAGCTCCTCCAGCGCCCTTGCCCCCCTTGCCCCTGCTTGTGCGGCGCTTCCCCGAAGGGGCAGACGCAGCGCCGACCGACTCGAAACCAACGAGGTCGGCCGCAGCAGCAGAGGCGACAGAGGGCAAGAGGGGGGAGGGAGTACACCCCTCAAAGATAGGGGTGCGGGGGTCACCACGAGAAGCTCCTACAGCGACTATGCTCTTCTCCGCCGCTAGGAGGGACTTCTCGAGGAGGTCAACGGTGAGAGTGGTGGGGCACACTGCGAGGAAGTGGTCCCTGACCACTCTAAGGGAGTCAGGGAGTCGGGTGACTATGTAGTAGAGGGTGATGTACATGGGGGGGGGGATTCTTGGCGCAGAAGTCAGCAGGAAGCGCAGCGGGGTAGCGAGTTTCACTAGTGCGGAGGTGCGTAATGAGGTCAGCGACTGTGGGAAGCGCAGCAAGGTCAGGGAAGAGGTAAGGTAGCATGAGACGGCTCAGTGCAGCAGTGGCAGGGGAGGAGTAGCGCGCAACTACAGCGTCGTACAAGGTCTGAGCACTCTTTTACTGACTAAAGTGTGCACGCTCGGAGGTAGGGAGGTGGCGACGCACAGCAAGACGTGCAGCAGCATCGCGCGTGGCCCACTGGGAGCGAACAGTGGCGTCAGCATCAGCAGCAGGGGCAGGGGAAGCGCCAGAGGTGAGGTCAAAGAGAGAAAGGCCGTCTGCCCTATCGCACTGTAAGAACAGCTGCAGGTCATCTACCCAGACCTCGAAGTCAATGGCCCGACCCTCAGCGTCAAAAGCGAGGACACTAGGGGTAGCCATGACCACAGTCGACTAGTAGTGCAAACAGTAGGGTGAGGGCAGTGCAGTGAAAGAGGCGCTGTGCTCACCGGACTGGGTAGCTCGGGCAGCTCGAAAGTAGGGCGGCTCGGCAGCTCGGCGGCTCGGCGGCTCGGCTGCTGGGCGGCTCGGCTGCTGGGCGGCTCGGCTGCTGGGTGGCTCGGCTGCTTGGCGACTCGGGTGCTGGGCGGCTCGGCTGCTGGGCGGCAAGGCGGCTCGGTTGCAAGGCGGCTCGGCTGCTGAGCGGCTTGGCTGCTGGGCGGCTCGGCGGTGCTGCTGCAGGGCGGCTCGGCTGTCGGTGAGAGGCGGTTAGGCCGTTGCAGAGGGCGGCGTGGCCGCAGGTGACAGCGGCAGGGCTGCAGGTGAGGGCGGCAGAGGCCGCTGCAGAGGGCGGCGAAGGGCCGCTGGTAGGGCGGCGATGGGGCCGCAGGGAGAAGGGCGGTGTCGGGCGGCGGCTAGGGCGGCGACGGGCCGCTGCTAGGGCGGCGACGGGCCACTGCTAGGGTGGCGACGGGCCGCCGCTAGGGTAAGGGCGGCGACGGGCCGCAGGGAGAAGGGCGGCGACAGGCCGCAGGTAAGGGCGACGCGAGGGGCCGCTGCAAAGGGCGACGCGACGGGCCGCTGCTGGGGCGGCGGCGGGCCGCTGCTAAGGGCGACGGCGGGCCGCTGCTTAGGGCGACAGCGGGCCGCTGTTAGGGCGGTGGCGGGCCGCTGCTAAGGGCGACGGCAGGCCGCTGCTAAGGGCGACGGCGGGCCGCTGCTAAGGGCGACGGCGGGCCGCTGTTAAGGGCGGCGGCGAGCCGCTGCTAGGGCGACACGACGGGGCAGGTGAGAAGGGCGGCGTCGGGCCGCAAGTGAGAAGGGCGGCAACGGGCCGCTGCTAGGGCGGCGACGGGCCGCTGCTAAGGGCGACGCGACGGGTCGCTAGGGGTGACGCGACGGGTCGCTAAGAAGGGCGTGACTCAAGTGCGCTTCGGGCAGGGGCAGAAAGCGCCCGGGGCAGGGAAAAAAAATTTCGGTGGGCCCTAGGAACAGTTCCCACGAGGGAACCTGCTCGATACCATGAGAAAATATGAACGAGAGAATGGATGAACTATGAATGAACTGGGTACAAGTACTAACCCTAATTGGGTTGTACCCCCTATGGGATACCCCACTACAGCCTACACAAATGTATAAGCTATGTAATGTTCTGACAAAGGATTCACAAATCCTTACCGATGCACTCGTTAGCGAGGTCATCCCGAGGGACACGCGACGAACCTGTCCTTCCTATTTCGTCGCACCGAACCACTCCCGAGTCGCCTCCGCTCCAATCGCAACCATCACCAAGCCATCCTCGCCCAACCTCTCCACCTAGCTAGGACTTCCCCTATTTAGGCCTCCGTCACTTCCATTGTTTCTTGATTCAGTAATTCTGTATTCGACATCCTTTTTATAAAGTCTTCCGCGCACTCTTAGTTCAACTCATAACGCAACCCCTCACCAATCGAGCCCGGGGGCCTGTCGAAAGCTTGGCCAGAAGTATACTGAAGTTGCCTCCCCGCACTAGCCCAGTCTCACAGCGTGCCGTTCACACACAGGACTACAAAGATAACTCAGAGGGTCCAATGTGGTAGGAGCTGCGATCATAGCACATGCCTCATCCTTAGGTCATACGCCCCCAACACACTGGTTCATTTCAGCGTCGCCTAGTGCGCCTTACCACGCCTTACGAAGAGAACATTTTCGGACGCTCATACATAGCTTCGCGACGACGCCTCGCTGCGATTTGTCGCTGCATCAGGCGCCTGTTCACGGCCTCGCACAAGCTAGCGGCAAAGGCCTCGCCGCACCGTGTCGAGCTGATGAATCCGGATCCACAGTAACAGTCCGCCGTGTGTGTTTTTGTCGCGAACACGATAGCTAGCACACTCGCGCACGTCCACGCCATCTAGGCAAAAGCTATTGCAAGTGCATGTGAGATGGCGTGGGTTTAGGCCTCGTTCCCATCTCTCCTTCCCGTCTCCCGATCTCACCAAGCCGCCGCACCGTCTTCCCTTCCCAGCTCCACGACAACTCCTATTCTCGCAACCCCCTTCCCTTCACCCAATCTCCATTGCCCGCCGCCCATCTCCCATTCCCGCCGCATGATCTCGCCATCCCGCCGGCCAAACTAACGTGCCCGCCTGCCAATCCTTCCTTACATCGCCCGAACTCCCCATCCCGCCACCCGATCTCCCCTTCCCGCCGCCCGATCCCCCCTTTCCGCCGCCCGATCTCCCTTTCTGCCGCCCGATCTCCCTTTCTGCCGCCCAATCTCCCTTTTCCGCCGCCCAATCTCCTTTTTCCGCCGCCCAATCTCTACTTCCCGCGGCTCAATCTCCCCTTCCCGCCTCCCGTTCTCCCCTTCCCCCCTACCGTCTAGCCCCTTCCCGCTTCCCGCTCTCCCATTCCCACCACATGGTGGTGGCTTCCCGCCTCTTCTCCCTTTCCCGCCCCGCAAATTCCCTTCCAGCCTCCAGGTCTCCCCTTCACGCCTCCCCTGCATCCCCCTCTCCCCACTCCCTACATCCCCCTCTTCCCATCCTCGCATCTCCCTCTCCCCATCCCCGCATCTCCCTCTTCCCATCCCCGCCTCCCCATCTCCCATTCCTCTCAGCTCCTCTCTTTCTGCCCTTCCGTCCTACCTCTTCATCCTCACCCCTCCACCCCGCCTCCCCATCTCCTCAACCCCTCTTGCTTTCCTCTCCCTGCATCCCCATCTCCTCTCCGTGCATCCTCATCTCCTCTCCCTGCATCTCCATCTCCTCTCCCTGCATCTCCATCTCCTCTCCCTGCATCTCCATCTCCCCGCCCTGCATACCTCTCTCTCCTCCCTGCATCCTCCCTAAACCCTTCCAAAGCCTGCTTCTCCTTACTTCTCCCCTGCCCCCTCCTGCCTCCCTTCGTTTCCTACCCTGCTCCCTCTATTTCCCCCCTTGATTCCCCTCATTTCCCCTCCTCACTTTTGTCATCACAGCCTATGGTTCGAATACTCCCCCTCTCCCCGACTACCGGCATTTCAGTGACCAACTGCTTTGAAGATCTTCATGCTTCAACTCGCCTCACGCCCAGGGCCCAAAATTGGTTTTGGCCCACCCTGTCAAATCAGAGTTCCAGGGTGGGCCAACCCTGACTCCTAGGGTAAAAAATCTCGCACCCTGATGAAAACAGGGTAAAAAAAAACTTCCTCTGATTCCATGAATAATGATGTATTTTAAAAGAACAGACATTCCGCAAGTTCAAATGTCTCACTTGGTTAGTGTTGATGCTGTGAGTAGAAAGGTCACCAGTTCGGCGATCTTGTTGGGAAGTAAGCGTAGAGCATTACTCGCCGGCGTCATTTTGCGCAACATCCACCGTATCCTCGCTACGAAAGACTCGGTATCAGTGTAACAGGTTTAAAACACTGATGAAAGTCAGGGGAAACAATCTATAACTCGGATTGCATAAGGGTACAAAACTTCTAACTCTTTATGAGTCAGGGTAAGAAATCCGGGAGCCTGACTGGGTCAGGGTAACCCCCAAAAAAGCGGCCGCCAGTCAGGGCAATCAGGGTATTTTACCCTGACATTTTGGGGCCTGCTCACGCCATCATCTCATGTCAAATCAGCTAGAGAAAGGGTCAATAGTACAGAATTCATCATAGCGAGAACATATTTCTTCCTAGCTGTATGTGATGTTATGTGACACCTTTATACTGTCGATGCATCGTTATTGAATAATCTGCACTGCTGAAATCGTGGTAGCACATAGCAGCATTTGTGATGAATATCTCTAGCAGTAACACACTACTCATACTAAGCACACGAGACTACAAAAGTTGTAAGCACCATCCACTACTAGCTGCGCCTATGCTTGCATCTGCTGGCCTGTTTCAGCATTACCAATTATCAGAGTATGCAGAAACGTTTGTGTGAAGACCCAATGGGGCCGTGCTGTGAGGGGGAAGAGGAGAAACAGAATCTGAATACAAGCAAGTAATGATACCATATAAGAACCTAGGGGGCAGAAGGGAAACGTCAGTGAGGGGGAAGGGGAGGGCATGCAAGGGAAGGGAAGGGAGAAGGGATCGGGAAGGGAAGGGTGGGCAGGGGAAGGGAAGCGTAGGGATGGGAAGGGGGTCAAGGAAGAAAAGAGGTGAAAAGAGATCCGAAATCAGGGAGTGTAGATGTGAAGGCAGGGAGTGGAGAGGTGAAGGTAGGGAGTGGAGATGTGAAGGCAGGGAGTGGAGATGTGAAGGCAAGGAGTGGAGACGTGAAGGGCCCCTCAGGTGGATTGCCTCGTCAGCGAGCGATGACTGGCCGTTGATGAGAGCCACTGAGAGGCCGACAGCTGGCGCCATGGTGTCAAGCACGTGCTTCACCTGCTGGAGTAGGCAGAATGGCACGGTGCCACACACCCTGCCAGTGTCTTGACAGGTGTGTTGGCAGGGAGATGAAAGGGACGAGAGGGATGGGATGGAAGGGCCGGGAAAAATGAAGGTGAAGAGGGCAGATGGTGAGGAATATAAGGGTGTTGGGAGGGTAGAGGGATGCAGTTGGGGACAGGAGGGATGCAGTGGGGGAAAGGAGGGGAAGCAAGGTGGGGGAAGGAGGGGAAGCAAGTGGGGGAAAGGAGGGGAAGAAAGTGGGGGAAAGGAGGGGAAGAAAGTGGGGGAAATGAGGGGAAGAAATTGGGGGAAAGGAGGGGAAGAAAGTGGGGGACAGGAGGGGAAGAAATTGGGGGAAAGGTGGGGAAGAAAGTGGGGGAAAGGAGGGGAAGCAAGGTGGGGGAAGGAGGGAAAGAAAGTGGGGGAAGGGAGGGGAAGCAAGGGCGGAAAGGAGGAAAAGCAGGGGTGAAAGGAGGGGATACAGGGGGGAGGTAGGAGGGAAAAGAGGGGAAGGAAGAGGGGGAAAGGAGGGGAAGCAGGGGGGGAAAGGAGGAAAAGTAGGGGGGGAAAAAGGGAAGCAGGGGCGGGA